AACAATTTTAGCTTTTATAACGTATTGGTAAAAATGAAATTAATAAAAAAAAATCTGCAACTGCGTTAGGCCAAAGAATATTTTATTATTAAGTGTCCAAATTTTTGGAAAAAATATAAATAAATAAATAAATGAATGAATAGTAAACAAATAGTATAAATCTTCAAAAAAATGTGGTTATGACAGAAAAGTACGTCAGGGTAGCAATCAAAATATAAAAAAAATTCTCACATTAATTGAATAAAGGTCTAATCAAATAAAAGGCTATTAATTTCGTTTTCACTTTCTTTAAAAACTTTGACACTCTATTGTCCTAGTAAAACATTTTTCGACTTACTTTGCTCAGAAAGAAATTAATAAAATGCACATTTGCAATCAAAGATAAATTGCAATGATGGTTTTCGATAAATTCCGTATTTTAATTTTTAATACCTACACGCCTAGAATCGTTCCTAAATTGGGGTCACATTAATTTCCATACAATAGAAAGACGTTTTTTGGTTAATGAAATTAATGTGACAGCGTAGTTACTACAGGTAGTTCATTTGAATAATACATATAATAATAATTATATATTAATATAATTATAGGCACGGGCAGATAGTTAAAATATTTATTATTCTAAGATCAGGTAAGTTAAAACTTTTATAGGAATAAGCATAATATGAATCCAGATAAATTGTAGTAAATAATAATTATTAAAAACTCATTCATCAAATTATATTTACAATATCATTTCATTTGTCAATTTTACTAATCACATTCCGAGTAGTCAGATGAACTATAGTTGTTGTAGTCCAGAGAAATATTAAGGGGCTCTACAGCGTTTTCTGGAATGTTATGTGCATCCCACATTATTTGTAGCATATTTTTCTGATGTTGTTCTTATTTAACGTAAGCGAATGATTTAATTAACTCCGAAATACTAGCCATTTTCAAGAACGAACTTTGCCAATCACTGTCTATAATTCCAATTTTAAACACTAATTAAAGCACAGGTAGGTCAACTAACAGTCCGTCCACCTGCCACTCTCGGGACCCTTGACAATCATCATAAGTACAATACTACGCCTATGAAATGCGATTGAGACTATTAAGTTATAAAGTTTAATAATAATTTATAACTCTCTCGCATTAAGTAACAGAGCATATATATTTTTGAACTCACCAAAATTTTATATGTTATGTATGGTTCGCAAGGTAGTTTCATCTGGAAATTTTAGCAATCTAAACATGTAAACATTAATTAGTACATAAATAAGCGTCAACACACATAAATAACTAATTTTTCTTCTCCCAAATTCTAAAATGTGTCCACTTTAAAACCATTGCGAGCCACTTTGGACGTTTTCGGCATTTTAGTCACGGATTTGGGATATTTGCATAATGTACTACTAGTATTATTTTTTCAGCGCGTACGTCTATGTATGTATGTATGTATGTCTATTTTATTTTCAGTTTTTATAAACAAAGGAGTAGCTACTCAGTATATATGTGTAAATGAAGAAAATTAATAATAAAATATATAAACATATAATACAATAATACTAAAACATAATAATATGAGGTTGCATGTGGTTGTTTCTTTTATTGCTAAATAAGGATAACGTGGCTTCTTATACGTTACGGTGGTGATTAACTGTGAACAAAGCGACAATTAAGATCTCTCTAAGTGGCAATTTGCGTGATTTAATACGTGATAATAATTTAACTGACGTACAGTCATTTGCTCAGTTTGCTCTCTTTAATGATAATATCACGACAGAGTCCCTAAATTAATAAAACACCGTCGTCATGATTTTAACGAGACTATAATTTCAATGAACTTTGGCTTTAATTACAGGACATTCCCATCCGCAGTAGTTTTTACTTAAGTAACTAAATCAAATTTCGCTTACTGAACATTAAATAATAATATTAATTTAATATGGAGCAACAGATACACCCAGCACGTGAAACGAAAAAAAAACTGGGATGAGCTTCCGAGAAAGAATTTCATTTTGCAAAACAGGGCTTCGCCTATTAAACAAGTTTAGTCCGATGTATAACTAAATTCACTTTGAAAAATTATCCCTTTTTTAAATAGTTGCAAAAATTCAAAAATGAGTGATTCTTAAATAGCAAATGTCTCTCTTAAAGACAACGAACTGCGAAAGTCCAAGTAAACGCAACGGTTTAGAAAAATTAAGTTTACAGTCAAAATGGATTTGAAGGAGATGCTCAGAGTTGGGGGTTATAGGTTCTAGGATGTGGCTTTCTTGCGACATCTAATACATGCATCAGCGTTTTCAATGAGAGTGTAGAAGTGTGCTGCACCTGGCAGACTTCTAAATATGAAAATTGTTCATGCATGTTCTCAACTTCATTCGAATCAAGTGAGATGCAATTATTGGCAAACTAAAATAATTTAAAACAAAACATTTAAATCAAAATGTTCTGCCGATTTAAAACTTCCAAAGTCACGCGCAGTCAAACTCTTTGCAAAATTACATAAAAAAGTGGTTTTACTTCAGCGATTCATCGAATATGTACAGAAATGGAAGATTTGCCAATATATTATACTTTCACCTCTAGCAAATTACTCATAAAAGAAGGAACAACTTCTTCTGCATGAAAAATCAGTATTGAATAATTTATATTGAATGGTCGGTCCACGCAAGATGCTATCAGATTTTTAACGTCAAATATCCACGATGCGATAGACGCCAACCTCGAATGTGGATTTGTCCAAAGCATTCGACACAGTTTGCCATACTAAAAAATTTTTATTTACAAAAAATTTGCTCGCGTTTGGTCGATTTTTATTTACGTTATATGTAAATGATATCTTACAACTAAAAACAAACAGTACCATAATTAGTTATGCAGATGATACGCTCCTACGTGGAGATCACTGCAACTTTTGATTGAAGAGGATATCGTAATTCTCAAAAATTGGTACCAACACAGTAAATCATAATATTTCTGAAACCTATTCCATAAAATATCTCGGTATTACTATAGACAGCTTGCTTAGTTTATAAACTTGGAAGGTTACTGTTTAAATTTTACTACTTAAGTGACTTCCTTCTGGGCTGGGGCGAAGTTTCGGAAAACCATGTTCAAAATCTTAAGACTACAAAAAAAAAATAATATGTCGAAAACCAAAATTATACCCAACAAATTTGCTATTTCCGGAGAGTATATATATATATATATATATATATATATATATATATATATATATATATATATATATATATATATATATATATATATATATATATATATATATATATATATTGAACTCCGGCTGGAATCCTGCAGACGTTTCGCCAAAATCTCACTCGGCATCTTCAATGCTCGCGCTCCGAAAACACTTCGAACACTGGGAGCACGAGCATTAAAGATGCCAAGTGAGATTTTGGCGAAACGTCTGCAGGATTCCAGTCGGAGTTAAAGAAGCGAACGGATGATATCCTGGAATATAGTGTCATCACATTTTTCCATCCGTGAATCAATACATGAAAAAAAAAAATATATATATATATATATATATATATATATATATATATATATATATATATATATATATATATATGATGACACTATATTCCGGGATATCATACGTTCGCTTGTTGAACTCCGACTGGAATCCTGCAGACGTTTCGCCAAAATCTCACTTGGCATCTTCAATGCTCGCGCTCCGAAAACACTTCGGAGCGATACAGTTAAAACAATCGTAAGAAATACTTACAAAATTAGAGTCTACCACATACTAACTAAAACAATACTTTACAGTTGAGGTAAATGAACGTAACGACATAATGAAACAAACAGATAAGCACTTAGTATACAATTCTTAATAATTGTAGGCAAAAGTTGCGCAAACGGTCGTAGCGAAAAAAAACAATCGATATAAATAATGACAAAAAAGCATAAAAATAACCTACTCCGTGGATCAACAACGCAACGCGAATACGCTACTCGGTGGCCGAACATTACATTATCTGTTGTTTAACTGAAAAATGTTACAGTATATATTGCTTATTTGCTGTGTATCAGACTTGTAGTTAATTGAATTTTTGTTTTTGTTAATATGGCACATTTCAAGAAACAGTCGGACTTTATAATTGTTGTCATATTGCAAAATTTTAGGATTGCTGTAGTCAAATTCATGTCCTGTTTTTATGTAATGTTCAACCACTGCACCAGTATTCTTATAAATACGGCAATCACTTTTGTGTTGTGTTAAACGTTGTTTTAACCACTGAGAGATCTGTTCAATATAGCAGCTTTGACAACCCAAACACGACAATCGATATATGACATTAGAGTTGTATAGAAGCGAAGTTGGATCTTTGACCCTAGAAAAAAGTTTCGAGACTTTTTCAGTATTATATTTAGCAATGTTTATTTCCTTGAATTCTTTGAAAATATTTATGATAGATTCCGTGAGGTTTTTAATATAAGGTATCTTTCTGTAACACATCCGAGCGCCTGGTTCCTCTGTTGGACCGTCATATGTGTTGGAGTTATAGATTAATCTCTTAAGTATATGTTTTGGATAACCGTTAGTGACAAAAATGTTGAAAGTTTTTTTCAGGTTATTTTGAATAAAACTGTCATGGCTCAAATGTGTAACTCTGTTTTTCATGCCTATAATTTTATTATATTTTTGGCTCTGTGGATGAGAGGAATAAAAATTAATAAATCTACCTGAGGCAGTTTCTTTCTGGTACCAATCCAAAATAATTTCATGCTACACAAAAACACACGGATAACGTTCTTATGAATATTATGCACCCAAACTGCTACCAGCAGGTATAAAATAAACTCAAAATTTTGAAACATTAAATTACAAAACAAAAAAATGGATAACTATGACAAATCGACAGCTTTTAAATAATCTAAATGACTTGAAGTACTTGAATGCTTGATATCTACCAAAAGCAAATCTATTTTTGTGTAACAGCCTGAGAAAAAAGTCGAACTAGACTATATATTACTTCTGCATTCAGGAACCAAGAAAATGGAATACAAAACAAGGCAATGGCACGAGAAATGTTTCTGCTGTTGTATCTGCAAGGTACCCATCGGAACCCAAAGCTTCATCCCGCGTGAACAAGAGATCTACTGCGCCAAGTGCTACGAAGACAAATACGCTACGAGGTGTATCAAATGCAATAAGGTACGAAAGCGGCCAAAACTTCCGGGACGGCTATGCGTCATGGCGTGTATTTCAGGTGATCACCAGCGGCGGCGTCACTTACAAGAACGAACCTTGGCATCGCGAATGTTTCACTTGCACAAACTGTCAGAAGAGTCTAGCCGGCGAACGTTTTACCAGTCGCGACGAGAAGCCTTACTGTGCCGAATGCTTTGGCGAATTGTTTGCCAAACGTTGCTTCGCTTGCAACCGACCAATTACAGGCATTGGCGGAACTAAGGTCAGGACCACCGCATCGTCAACTTTTTTGTGAATTGACACATACGGAAAATTTAACGAAATCAAAAATATTCAAAAAATTTCACATCAATTGAAAAGAAAATTTATTCCAGGCCAATTATGAAATTTAGTTTTTTTTTAGAAGACACTTGTCAAAGATACCAGAGTTTTTTCTGCAAATTTCCCTATTCATCACCGTCAATTTGAACCTAACAATAAATATTGTCAATAAAAAAATGGCGATCGTTCAACAGCTTTTTACAGACCTAGAATTGTTAATAAATTTGCCAAAAATATATACCAAATAAGTACTAATCCTAGTGAAACGAGCTTTATGACGATTATTGATCAAACAATTTTTATTTTCATTTTTATTGCATGCCTGGCGAGACGTGCCAAGCAAATAATTTGTACGAAAGTTTTGGTTTGTTTTCCTTTGGTATTGACGTCTTTATTATTGGTCAAAATGGTTACATTTTGCATAACTATACAGAGAGTGTTAAAAAAATTCGCTGTTCATCTTGGCGGTGAGATTACAATATGAGGCGCTGTCAAAGCAATTCGGCTATTGGATTTTTAAGATACGGCATTAAAACCCGTTTGTTTTTAAATGTTGACACTTTGCTCCTTGTAAACTAAAATGAAAAAAATGTCAAAATCAAATTTGGGTTTTAATTTAATTCGACCAACTTTAGAGGAATAAGTCAGACTTTCTGACAAAAATTGAACACCCTGTCTTACCGAAACCGAATATTCTGGTGTCTAATACTTGTACATCTGATGTTTCGATTCACAATGTCCTTTACGAGAAATTCTGACTTGTTTTTCAGAAATTCTGACTGGTTTCTCAGAAATTTGTCAAATTTGTCAAAATTTGTTTCTCAGATATTCTGAATTATACTTCAAACATTTGCCTAAGTTAAAAAAAAACTTTACTTTATTTTTGGTGACCGATTAGTGGATGAATCAAAAATCGAACTGTTTAGAATACATGATTTAGCGTGTAATAAAATAAAAAATGTATATATAAAATATCAAACTTGGTTAGAGTTTCAGCGTGGTAGAAATTTGTACTGGTCAAGCATATTATGGTTTTGTGGTATATTTTTAAAATATTTTGAAAGTTACAGCATTGCGAGATCTAGCCAAAACCAGTGCTGAAAACTGGAATTTTGAACAGAAAACCTTACAGTTTGTTACACTTGCAAATCCTACAAATAAAAACAAAAGTATAATAGAAAGAGGTAGATGTTGACACAAAATACTTAGTATTTTGAGTTATTTTGTTTTGGGATGCAAAGTTGCAATGTTGGGCGGATATTGCAACGCTGAAGGAGTTAAAATATTCTCCCTAGTCTTTCAGAACTGAAAGTGACAAATCAAAAAAAAATAAATTATTGACTCTTGGATAAATTTTCCCTTATGGTTTCAGTTCATCTCGTTCGAAGATCGCCACTGGCACAACGATTGCTTCTTCTGCGCTAGTTGCCGTACTAGTCTAGTTGGACGAGGCTTTATCACAGACGCAGACGACATCATCTGTCCGGAGTGTGCCAAATCTAGACTTATGTAAATCTTAGCCACCACGAAGGTATCTATATGGACGGTTAAAATCGGGGCGCCATATTTGACAGGCAGTAAAAAGCAAATAAAATGAAGAAAATTTTTTCCAATTTTGCAGGACGTAATCTGCGCTGTCCTTGTTTGTTTTCGAGGTAAATTTATAATAGTTGATTTTAATTTGCTTGAAGGCATTTAGCGTAAATAATTATTTTTATTATTTTCAATAGATTTTATGCAACCGCCTCGCTAGACTAATATATGTATAAATTATAGTTCGTTAGCTTTTGGTGCGTTAAAATCTTTTAATGTTTAAATGATCAAAGAAACTATTTTTGAAGCAATTTTTAGTGTAATAAGAGAGCCGTGTCTTACAGGATTATCATAGTGACTTAATAGTGTTAATCAGACGCCTTAATTTGTTGCGAAGTAATTATAAACTATTTATTTATTAAATATGATTTTAATTTTACTAAAATTTTGTATTTATGGATTGTTATAGTTTTTTATTTATCTGTAAAACCACGCTTGTATAGAATATTGTTATATTTATTCAACAAATAAACTCTTCAATAAATTTGGGACAGTTTAATTTCCTGAGCGCGGCACATGTCCAAATAGCAAAAAATAATATAAAAACAGTATTAATAACTACCAATAAAGACTAAAATGTGATGCATTTAGGTTAAATGAAATGTTAGATATTATACGCTCTTTAGGGTCCAAAGACAAGCAGTCAAATTCCAAAAGTGACGGACAAAGCACTATACACATGATTGCAAAAGTTTTTTGACGATGAGAAAATAATATCTAAAGAGCAGTATGATTTTCAACTAAAACGACAGAACTCCTGCAATAACTTCATTGCCTTTGACCTCTCTCATGCGTTCTTAATCCCAAACCTCGTCTTTCTAATAGTTTGGGGAACAATCAACCTAATAGTATCATACGCAATAGAGACGGAGCTCAGAATTTGTATGCTGATCCTTTTAGTGTTGACCTGGTAAGGGATATTAGGGTCTCCCGGAGAAAAATAGTTACGAACTCAATAGAAAGATTGAAATAGCTATAACAAAATTTTAGACCTACTGTATCGACCACCTAAAAATTGTAGTAGTTGAATTCACAGTACACAGTCCTTTAGATTTAGTGATAGAATTAAAAGTTCAAATACAGAATTTCTAGCACAATAACTTGACTGTCAATTAAGTTGGTCCAATCAAATAGACCCACATCTCGATAAACTTAATAGTTATAATTCTAGTTCTAAACTCCTAGTATATACACAATTAAATACATAACATTTTCAGAATATATGCATCGAAATGAACAAAAATGCAAATATGAAAAAAAAAATTATATGAAAAATTATGAACATTAATTTTATTTTAAATAATGCCAGAACTATTTTTTTATAATTAAACCCGTTCTTCAGAAATCCTATATTTTTTTACCTATATCACAGACATATTTCAAAAAATATAAATGAAACAAAAAAAAATCGTAATAAAAGTGCTTTATTCATTATTCATTGATACTTACAAGCAAATTGCAAAATATAAAATATAAAACAAAAATCTCACAGCCAGGAAATGTTATTTCTGTTTGAAAAAAAACGTATATAATACAATTACTAATTCAACAATAGATTCCTTTAATCGCAACTTGAACAACAGATAATTCGTAAACTTAACAAACTATTCGTTGCAGTTACAACATATAATGACTAAATGTTCTTGTTCATGTTTAAAAATGTTCAAAATTTCCCAAAAGAAACTTGTGTCATTTTTCTGTAAATATATGTTTAAAAATGAAAACAAAATAGTTTTGTAATTAAGTGTTTCTAATGCAGTTCTCTTTCGAAATTAGTGCAATTGGCTTTAAAAAAATAGGGAAATATTTTTAAGGAGTTTTTTTGCAATCTTCCTCAAATTGATTTATTAAACCCGCTAAGAAACTCCCCAATCCTCCAATTTCGTGAGTGCTATAGGCAGAAACGAATAATTTGTTTATATAAATATTAAATATAATTTCACTGTTGGGTTATAAAAACGAGTTTTTGCATTTATTAGCGCGGCAGATGATGAGCCGTTTAAATCTTTTTAGCTAACTTTTTTAATTAATTCAAAGTTCTCGGCATAAAATATGGCAGCGGCTAACCAAGTTGCCCAGCAAGTGATTACTGGTTGTGGTGGTAATTGGACAATTTTCCTTATAAAACTGAACACGTGAAGGAGCGTTTAGAAATACTTTTTTTACTTGATTGATTAAATCATTTATCAATAGAAACTGGTCTCTTATACGTTTTGCTGGTTAGAATAAAATATTTTTAAATTGTGTCCTGCTTTAACCATGTGGAATGCATTGGATAAAAGGAGTATGAATTTTTCGATGGGAACACTGTTGTGCAAAAAAAGTTGCTTACTGCTTTTTGAACAAATCTGGTTACACTTAAATTGTTGTTTTTTATTTGCTTGGATGGAACTAAATAGGATCCACCATAATCATGGGATTCATTAGTTTCCGCTAAAACTCCAATCAATAATAAATACGTGCGGTGTCGAAAAGGGCTTTTATATGGCAAAAAATGTAATAAATTCTCTATTATTGGAAGAAAATGAGTTTTTCATTTTCTCTACTCCTAATTCCTAAATATCCTCGGCAATCGCTTACAATATAAGTTGGGAAAGAGCAGTAAACTCGGACCGAATTTCCGTCAAACAAAAAAGGATAATTCGATTCGTATAGAACTTAAAACTACTAGAGTCAAGCAGAGATGTTTTTGGAACTAAAAAAATACTTTTACAAGTATTTATTTACTTAAACTATAAATTTATGGACATAAAATAATATAATAATAGTATGCTTATAGACAACGGTAATTTAAATTATAAATAATACATTATATTTTGCGTAACCAGAAAATAAACAAACTAAAATTCTTCCTAAAACCCTTAAGTTGTGCAGAACCACATATCTTAAATTCACCCTACCACATATTTCAGAAAGTGACTTCAATAAATGTTTAAAGGAATTGCTACATAATGTATATAAAATACAAAGTCTAACCTACATAATGTAAAAATATTAAACACAAATATTTTATTATTATTTTAATTAGTCTGTTTATTTTCGACACTTTTTTGTTATTTATTCTTATTTTCTCTCATATTTCTTTTACTTTTTACTGAAAAACTACAGCAAGCGGAAACGTCCTATCAACCAAGTACGAACACACAGTGGAACTGCATCAAAAACATAAAAAGAAGTGGATGATTGAAAAAATTATAGGTACTTCGGAACAAAGAAAGAAGAACTCGAAAAAGCTAAAGATAAATAGGTGACAAACAGGTCTACCGAAATGGAAGAACTTGTTTCAAAGCAGTATTCACTAAACAGAAAACATCCTTGAAAGAAAGACAGCTGGGTAAATTATATAAAAATAGTCTTTGAAGATGGGCATTCGTCATGTCGTGGAAAATGTATAAACAACAAACATAATTCCTGTTACCTTTCCCAAATCTAAAAATATTGCGATTGTCGTCTTGACTAAATTCTTGCGGATAAAACACTCATCAATTAGAAAGGCGAAGAAGATATAGTTCCTATTTGGTTTCCGGAAGGGCATCGGAATTCAAGAGGTGCTGTTTGCTCTTTCAATGTCTTGTGAAATCTAGGGACCAATTTGTTTTCTTTGTTCACTTCCAAAAGATTTTGGATAAAGTTAACCATCAAAACCTTATCATTCGAAGAGAAGAATTGTGAAAATACTCACAATGTTTATTGAGAACAAACAGCTAACACCAGAGTAGAGGGAAAAAAAACCAAAATCGACAGCAACACGCAATATTGTTATATTGCCATATTGTCTTTCTTATTTTTCAATTTGTATTATACCTTCAGAAATCACCATAGAAGAATTCAAGTTAATGGAATCATTATTAAATATAATTAGATACACGTACGTTACTGCCCTCTGGGCAGAATCTGTTGAGGACCCACAAGAAGTCGTAATATCAATATATAAAGAAACACACGATTAATCGTGGCAAAAATAATACTATATGAGACGTCTTTTGTATGACCTCCAGAATAACGAATACAGACGCAGTTCTCGGAGGGATAATAAGGGAGAATTATTGACAAACATAAAGTTAATTTAAATTACTGAGTCTTGCAACTCATAATGGATATTCATATTCAGAGTAGCAGAAAATCGAACGGCATTCTCTGAAGTAGACGCCAACGTTAGGGTTCTTAACACAGCATGTCAAAAAGTAAGAAAAAGACGTACTTCGAAAATCTCGGTGTATTAAGTAATACTCATGCCCAATTTCAATGTGGCCTGAAAAGTAACAATAAATTACCAAATTGATTGTAAGAGGAAAAAAATCTGTCAAAACTTTCAAATTGCGTTTAAAGCTATTTAAAAAATGATCTCCTTTACTCGCTTGATGAGTTTTTTAGTTGTTGTTTAAATGTTCGATGGTAAATATGTTACAATGTGTTATTTTTCTTTTTTAATTATGAAAAATATAAAAATAAATAAATCAATTACGCATAATCATCCAAAGTTTTGAAAAAAGGAAAAATAGGTTCCATGATTCCCAACGTCCATCTCGATAAGATCACTTTGCAACAACAAATTATTTGAGTTGAAATCGATGATTTTTAAGCCTAAGAGATTGTACCTTTTGTGCGATACGGCTATAAGTATTCTTCCAGCGGACATTTAATAAAAACCAGATTCCACGAGAACATTTATAAAGTAAACTTTATGTATTTGGTTTAAAATCACAAAACTGGTTTCAACCATTTTGCACTGACACAGAAAGGCTTAAACGGGATATTTTTATCGTGCTATGGTGCTCCTTACCGGGTTGATAATTTTAAGGAAATCGTTTGAGAAAGATTGTTTTACACTGGAACTAAATAAATCGGAAATATAAAAAAACTGGCCGTTTAAAAAAAAAATAATTTCGAAAGAACTACATCAAAACCAGGAATTTCTCAAATGATTTCAATATGAAATGTAGTTGTTTTTAGAGAATTTACTGTGAAAAATGGCTCAAGAAATTACTTTTTCCAAATTTTTTTAGAAATGCATCTTTACAAAATTTTAGGGTCTTATAAAAATTACTAAGTGAAAACTACATGTCCCTCCATTCTTTTAGCGGCAGAACTAACTGTGTTTTATTTCATATTACAAGTGAGTTATAAATTTAAAATAAATAAAGTTTCAAATTTTTCGATCTCAAGGGGTTGCTTTGCGACTGTTACTTTCAAAAAATTGATGAAATCGATTCTTTTCGGAAGTATACGCGCTCCTCACTAAACTCCAGATCTCGATTACAGGGTTGAAAAAAAAAACGTTTTTATTTTTTGTCTGTCTGTTCTCCGTTCTAATGTTCAAGGATTTTTCGAACGGTTTCAGCTAGACGCTTCAAATTTTGTTTCTTTTTTACAGTCCACTAGGATCATAAGATATTTGAAAATGGCGGCGATCGGACATTGACGGCCATCTTTTTTTTTTTCGTTTTTTTACCGTTTTTTGAACATTGCTATGAAACACGATAAGTGTCCGAAATTTAAAGCTAGCAACTTCAAATTTGGCATACATATTAAGCCTGGTTCTGAATCTATCCAAATTAGGGGGGCTGGAGTGTCGGAAAGAATTTTTTAAAAATTAAAAACTGCGTGTGCAAGGGTCTTAGAAAAAAATCATTTCTTGAAAACGGTTTACGAGACCGAAAAAATTGTTGAACATGAGGACGAAGATGATTTCTTGAAAATTTTTCAAAAATGTACCGGGCGCACAAATTCAAAAAAACTGAAAAATAGACCCCTCTATTATTGAAAATTGGCTACAACGGAAACACAACAAAACAAAAAGTCTTACTCGATTCTCGCAAAATATATTTTTTAAATTTTTGAAAATATTTTCTCGAGAACTATTAACCCGATCGGCAAAATTTGTGGACCGGGAAATGCGGGGGATCCGGGACCTTAATTTTTATTTCACGCATTTTTGCCATTATATACAGGGTTTTTCAATTATAGACAAAAATCTAACAGACCTTGAAAATCTTTCGTTTCGCTATTAAATTATTACCCGTAAATCAAAATTCGTGAAAAATATCGCCAATTGGTTTATTGGTGTTATTGGCCACAGTTTTTGTATTTATGGGTTTCGTCTATCACATACGCTGTTCCAGATATTTGAAAAAATCCAAATGAAAATCACCTTTTCTCGCCCTCACGTACTGCATGGTTTCAGAAAACAGGTGCTTTCTTGAAAACCACTTAATCTATTGGAAAAAATCATATACCAGGAAACGTAGGAGATCCAGGGCTATAACATTTATTTCGAACATTATTTGATTTATATATTTATGGGCAAAAAAAACTAAAACATCCTAAAAATTTCCGTTTTTGTGGGTAGATTATTGGGGATAAATGAAAAACTGCTAAAGATGCGATAATTTGATTTGAACTGTATCGTAAATTGTGAAGAGAGAGAGAGTTTCAGGTTTCAAATATCATTCGGCGACGCTATTGTTAGTTCGGCGAGACTTGAAAGACACTTTATACAGGGTGTATGCACAAAACAATTACATCGATTTTGCGAAAGTCTCATAGTGGTCCGCAGGAGCACGATAGAAAAACAATGTCTCCCTCTCGCCCAGCGACGATTTTTCGAAAACAATCTTGTTTAATTTGACTAGACCATCTCATAGCTGATCGGCCTCTAATTCTCTTTCCCTGTACTAAATCTTCTGAGTTGCTTCCGCATCGATTATTGATGAATCGAGCTTGCTGACTTTTCCCCGGACACAGTTTCAGTTAAGCTCTGAAGAAGCCAACAGAATGATTGCCGAAACAGTAAGTTTGATTTATCAACAACCGACGCAGAAGGGATTCAGAAGATTTGTAATTATTACTACAGTAGCCAGTAGAAGTTTCTTTGAAAAAATCACTATAAGCCAGTTTATATTATCATCTCGTCTTCTACCCACGTGTCCAAAATATTTCAACACTTTATTCAAAAAAAGTTCTTTGCGTGGTCCAGGGAATTCTAAGCATTCTACTTTGGCTCCGCGATTCAAATGAATCAATATATTTGCGTTCTTTAGCTCTAAGTGTTCACGATTTTGAGCAAAATGTCAGGATTGGAAAGACCAAAATGTCTCTTATTATTTCGTTAGACTCCAACTACTATAGTTCATTTGCAAATGAATTATTGTAAATAATAGAGAAAAGAGAATAATTATGGGCTAGGACTGGAATATGGGCTACAGTGTTATTTCTGATACACCTGTAGATATCTATTGGTAAACGTGTCAGTTATATTTTCTTTAGTAATCGTAACCGTCTTAGAGGTTCTTAGAGGATTCTTCTTTCATAAGCGTCGTTTTGATTATGTGTGATTATGTGTGTATGTACGATGTTTATAAATTTTGCAATGTTGGAGATTTCGTGTTGCTTTTGCGAGTAAATTTGATTTTTAACAATCAAAATACAGCAAAAGGTTTGTACCTTTAGATTTTGTTTTTAAATTTGCACAGATATAAGATACAAAATATTTATGAAGTTATAAAGTTTTTCCAATATGGGCCATTATTATGTTTTTAATATGGGCTATCCCATATTTGTAGCAATATTTAAAATGGTGCGTTTTGTTTTAGAATGCCATGTAAAATACTGATGGTATCTAACTTCCAATCTGAGCACCAAGAAACGAAAGACCTGGGATACAGAGGTTATGAAAAAGACTGTTTAAGCAGTAAGAGAAAAAATATGGGTACTCTAAAGGCAGCTAAAACTTTTTATGTTCCAAGAACTACAGTGCAGCGTTTAGCCAAAATGGTTCATCTTAGCGTGGACCAGGTTTTTCAGATTAAGCTGGGGCGAGGTACAGTTTTGAATTCGGAACTTGAAGAGACATTGGTTCGCTATATCCTTGAAATGGAAGCCAAGTTTTATGGTTTAACACGCAAAGATATTAAACGTATGGCATTTACCTTTGCAGAAATAAATGGCATCAAGCATCCATTTGGAAACACAAAACCAGCAGGTAGGGGCTGGCTAGATATATTTTACTAAGGCATGAAAATATGTTGTCAATTAGAATACCTACTGGGACATCTTTCGCTCGCGCGAAAGGGTTTAACAAAGAGAGTGTTGACAACTTTTTCGCACTTTTGAAAGAACTGTCCAGCTCTTTAATCACTTTAATAGCCTGCATGAGTGCAGGGGGAGACTTCGTACCACCGATGCTCATTTTCCTAGGAAAAATATGAATATTCAACTAATGAAAGGCATCTGTATCAGCAGTTTTGGTGGGTTCAGGCCACGTCATTCGACCAGTGGTTCAGACATTTCATCGTTACGGTAAAACCGTATGCATCTTCACCTGTTCTTCTAGTCTTAGATGGACAATACGTAATATGCGTAATTTAGACGTCGTTAATATGGCGAGAAAATCATGTGACAATCTCATAACCCCCTCATTCAACCCATAAACTACACCCCTTTAACAAAACTTTCATGGGTGCGTTAAAGGGTTACTACAGTGAGGAGATTAGACAATAGATTCGTCACAATCATCTTCCTTTATCGAAATATGATATTCGCGAACTCTTTGGAAAGGCCTATTTCAAAACTCAAACCAGCGGAGTTGCAGTAAATGGATTCCGCACTACTTATTTACTATTTACCCGATTAATAAAATTTTTTTTTCAGAAGCGGACTTTCTTGCTGCTGAAGCAGAAAAAGAACACTGCACCGTTCAAAGTGACATATATGACTCCACGAATGATATTCCCGGTTTGGTTTCAGAGAGAATTGCAATAACAACTCCAAGCCTATCTCAGTCAGCTATAGAGCCACCCAGTTAAGACTACATTCATTTGACATCTCACCGGTTCCGATATCTTTCACAAGCACCGGTAATTACTTCGTCCCCTTACAAAAACGAATTATTGTTGAGCACTGCCAATAAAACCACACAAAATTTTAAACAAGTTAAAAGAAAGGTTTTTTCTCAATCAACACAAAAGATCTCGTTGTACAAAACATCGAAGAACACTAGACAGCGGCAATCAAAGGAAGATTTTGAAAGTGAAGATGACGAAACGCAGTTTGTGTCAGCCGATGAAGGCTTCGAAATTGATGATATGCCTTTACAAAAGAAGCCAGATGACCTAGATGCAGATTTTCTGAAGACCGCAAAGGTGAAGTCTGGATTCAATGTTTAATGTGTAATTTGTGGTGTCATGTCGACTACGCAGGCGCTGATAGAAACGACTATGTCTGGCTTTTGTCGTACTGAATAATATTGTGTTATTTTGGTTGTGTTGTGTTTTTTTAATGTTACACATGAATAAAACTCTTGAGTTAATATTTGTAGGTATTTTCTGCAGTAGCCCATATGTGTAATACTTTCTCATTGCTATGATATGATGTCATTTTTATTTAAACAAAAAAAAATACTTAAGTGAAAATTCAAATAACTGTCAGTATAACTTTTGTTAGGTTCTACTTGTTCTACTAACTAAATGGTAGTCCATATTTGTACCATCTCCTCTACATTTCTCTCTATATCATCTCTTTATAATTATAATCATGCATAATTATTACAATATTTATTATTCTAATAAACTACCTGCAGTAATGCGGCTTATTTTCATTCACCTCGTGCGGGTTTTAAAAACTGAAATACGAAATTTATCGGAAGCTATCATTGCAATTTATGAGAACTTTTAACTGAAAATGTATTCCTCTCTGGCATTGAGCAACGAAATGTAGTTAATCATGTTATATCCTAAGCAATTAATTAGTAGGTAAAATAATAATACTTTAAATAGTAATAAAATTGGAACAAAATTACTCAATAATAAATGGGAAATAAATATTCCATAAATAACGAAAAAAGTTTATACGAAATGCTCCAGACAAAGATATCAGAGCCTATGACTAGCAATGTTATGGCGAAATCCCCGAGGCTTCAAAAATTTTTTCTTTCCAATTTAGGAGATCAGTCTCTAGGCCACCGTGTATAAAATTTTGAAAGAGTCGCGCGGATATCACATACGAACGATCTCCAACACATCTCAGAACCGCAAGTGTTGTAAATTTTCTGGGCCGCCAGTACAATTCCAGTTCTTGTGCGGAACGGCAGCAAAGTATTTTTGCTCCGTTATTCCCGTTAGACAATGTTTAGTGTTATTTTTATTTTGGTACGTAAATATTTCGCTCCACTTTTCGATTGCAAATATGTATTTGGTGTGTGATTTTTACATGTTTGCAGATTTTTCTCATTAATTTGGTCGCTTATTACCCTGTTCTTTAAAAAAAAAAAAACATACCTATATTGTCTACCCCTACAAAAGTCAAGCATTAGAGTTTTTCAATATCATGTTTTTGTGCAGATATTATCGGCATCGGGGTTTGTCTTCAGTCAATCTGCAAGTAATGGTGACAATACACCGACCGAGTAAGTATTCAATTAATTAAGTTTGGCAAAATTCAACTCCAACGCTGCACGTCTAAAATCCGATGATGGGAAAACGGGGCTCCAGAAGACAGAGTTTACAGCGTCTCTGTTAACTGTTCTTTATATTTCCATTCTCCTCAGCAAGTTGTACACTTAATCTGTGGATTGTACCACTCCTGATTTAGAAACCTGGAACGTTCTATTTTGCTAGTGCGGGATGCATTTTTCTAACTGATATATGTCATCGCCACATAGCTATTAGATAATACTTACTACGGCAAAAATTGATGCGCCGCAGCCGGCATAGATATTGTCGTAGATAAGCTTTTTGGACACATTTAACTCTCCGTAAAAATACCGGAACCAAACTTATTGACGATCTATCAGTGGCCATGTTTATTGTTGAGGTCATTGGTTCAAAACGAGGTTTTAAATGTCGCGCATGCGCATATTGAATGGACGTGCTCACTTTTTTCTTATTCGCTTTGTAAGTCCCGGATATTATTGGAATAGGCAGAGCCTCTATATGTCTAATAGCCATATGGTCATTGCAGATCAATTTCGTCCGAACCTGAGATCTAAACGCCATCTACGATCGCAAAACATCCTAGCTAAACAGCATATAATATCGCAAACTAATCTTTTACGTAGTTAGATAAAACAACACATATGAAACAAAATTGTTTAAATATCCCGAAAATCTCACTTACTTTAGTCTGCGTTAGTATCGATCCCTGTTGCGAAATTTGTTGCTAAAATTACAAGAAATTTTGTATTATAAAATTATACCAACACTGGCCCAAACTAACTAGAACTAGTCATAACTAACCAGAACTAACCAATAATAACCAAAATTAACCGAAACTGGTCAGAACTAACCAAAACTACCACATTTTGTGATGTGAGTTTCATGGAGTGGCGAAATAAAAGATTTTATACAATTTGTAGCTAAAAATTATACCAAAACTACCCATAAATTACCAACCAGATTTAATCAAAACTTCACAGAAGTAATCGAAACTAACGAAAACTAACTAAAACTAACCAAAAGTATTGTATAGTTGGCTTATATTATATTATATCAACGTAAAATTCTCTCTACTTAGCCAATGGTCGTTTTCTTTCTATACACTAAAAGAATAGATTTTAAGGCATTGAATCCAGACATGTTAATCTTCTGGAATGCAGGTATGGAGTACTTTTGAAATCCAAGTATGGATTATTCTTAAAAGACGCAAATTTCTTTTTAAATCTAAAAAAGTTCTTTTAAGAAAATTTGAAATATTTATGAAAGAAACATTAAAATATTAAAGTTTATTGAATCATATTTGTAATAATTAACGTGTACTTACAATAAATTGGCGCGAAGATAATGGCACGACGAGAATTGTTTGGTTAGGATTTTAAGGTTTAACCAAAGCATATGAAATTTAGTTTTTGGTGAGTATCGATCCTTCTTATTGATTGTGATTTCATTATCACTGTTTTCAAAAATAATTATAAATTAAATATAAGATCTGACAATATCGGTCTGAATTTAATTTGCAAAATTTGAGTTGACAATAGTCTTCAGCTAGCATTACATATGTGGTATAGTAATAACAGTGAATATTTAAAGGCTAGCCAAGACATCCGCTGCTGGATGTCAAGAAGTTGTACAAAAATCATATTCCATTAGACGTTCAGATATTTTCCTGGAGGGCACGGATAATATATATGGACTAATTTGACATATCCAATTGGTGCCGTGTGCTATCTGGGCAGAAATTTCAACACACGTAACTCAATGACAGATAAAAAAATGCGTGCAGGCTTTAAAAATTTTCAAACTTTCATTCATTCACTCATGTTCATTGTAATTGGATATTTGTTTCAATCTAAAGTGCTGAACGTTATTATTTATAATACAATCAATTATTATCCGACTGGCCAAATAAATTTCTATAGAAAGCAATCTATTTCCTTTCCAGGTTGGACCAGCTGAAGACAAAGGTAGAGTTCCGATCTCAGCCGCCGCCCGACCCGAGCGACCCGAGACTGAGGGCCCAAATCGACGCGAAAACCGAAGAGATTTTGCGAAAAATCGCCCAAGTTAATGATGACCACGGTTTGGCGCCGAAAACCTCCAATCGATTCAGATTTCGGTACCCTGTTCCGTATCAGAGGTCCCAATATAAAAAACGGCGCTCCCAAAATGTAGACTTGTTCAAGCACGTGCTCTCGAATCCGATTTTGGAGTACTTAAAAGCAGGACAGGAACATTCCAAAGACGAGTCCTCGCCACGACTGAGAAGACCCGCCCAAAACGACCAACTCCATCAGGAGGAAAACGTAGCTGGACAACAAATCAAAAGAAAAGTCACGCACTATCAGTTTCTTATACCCGGAGCGATGAGTCCGTTCGAGGTGCCTGCGGGAGATGCGACAACAAACCAACAGGGTCGTCAAAATTGGAACTGGCCCGGTGCAAATTTTTTCCCGATATACATCAGGGACCCGTTCCTTCAGATGTATTACGCGGTCACCAACATGGTAGAGTACGGGCCCAACGCCGGGCAAGGTGGCCCCTGCAAACTGACACCGACCAGGAGAAACACCGCAGAGGCTGAAAAAACCGTTAGTTTCGATACGAGAACGGACGACGCGGTTTTGGACATGGACGACGTCATCGCTGACGATGACGACGACGAGTTTCGGGTCACCATCAGAGAAAAGGACGTCGCAAGGGCGAGGGAATCGCCTGATGGGATGCCAGACGCGATACGTAACGTTAAGCAATCGGTACTGTCGCCGCCAATAAGGGATCAAACGGTTTACGTGGACGAAACGGACGAGCAAGATTTGGAGGAGGAGAAACAAAACATAAACGTTTCGAACGAGGGTTCGAAGAAGGTCTTTAGTAAAGATAACACCGGAAACGGGATCTTCGTGCATAGAATTAGGGTGCGTCAAGGAGGAGTGGCGATAGCGGGACCTGGGGGGATAGCTAGCGCCGGTGACGGTGGCACTGCGATCGTCGGACCCAACGGAGTCGCGTACACGACGAGAGATGGCGTCGCTATCGTCGGCAAAGGCACTAAAGTGGTAGGGGTGGACCACGATGACTTGATGGATATGATTAGGAACTCTCTGAGGAACGGCACGAAACTAGATAAGAATAGGGTAGTTTCGGCAATGGCTAACCCGAATAAGGGTTAACGTATCGGGGTTGTTTATTTTACGTTGTACGTGGGGAGTGCCAAAGATGATTTTATATTATTTTATTTAATCCCTTTTTTACTTTAAGAAAAGAAAAATCGTTAAATAAAACGTTTAATTAAGGAAAAGTTTATAATTAATTTATGCTGCGTTGGGTCCATTTAAATTATTATTGATATTATAATCACTGAATAATATACTCATTATTACATAGGAAATAAAATAAGAAAAAATGCCGATATATGTTTACAGTTACTAAAATTCTTACGGATATTAAAAAGTTTTTTTTTAATGATTAAAAGAAATCGGCATTTTCTTGAATTTGGTATGAATATATAATTGAAATTTCAATTCTGTGCACTCATCTAAACAACAACAAAAAAAACAAAATTACTAATGCCAAATATTAAAGATTCATTTTGCGAAAAGCAATTAAAAATACCGCAAAAGCTGATACTACTCTTCAAAAACTAGTGACACCTAGTGAAACTACTTCTGAAAAATTGAAACCAGTTTTTTTACAAGCTGAGTAAAGAAATATCGCTAATTAAAACGTTTTTATTGAAAAAAAATTATAATGATTTTTTACTGCTTTGCATTCAATTTAGAATTTTTATAATTTAATTTAATATTTTATTATGATAAGAATAGAATAACATACATAACATTTAATTTATAAAATGGATATATAAAATAACATACGAAAAATTGGCATTTTGTTTTTGAAGTGACTGAAAAGTGAGTGATATAAAAGTTGTTATTGAGTTTTCAATTTTTTTAGCAAAACTATTTTTGAAATTCGAAAAAGTATCTACTACTAAATACCTAGTGAAACTAACCTACGTCATCTATGGTTTTACAATTCTGCGAATAAAAAAAATGTTTTTGGTAATGGAAAAATTGTAACTAGTTTTTTCTTGACAAATAAGAAAAAAATCGTTAAATTTTATGGAGAAAAGGTGTATAATGAATTTTTGTTGCGTTGGTATTTATTTAATTTAGAGTTATATTTATTATTTAAATATTTTATTATTTTATGTACTTAATATTACATTATCATTTTGCGTTTGAAGTTACTAAAGTTTGTTGGTCGTCTTTTATGTATTTTATAAAGGATTATTTTTCTACTCTACTCTTCTGTAAAATACGTAATTATATACCGATCTAGCATGCAGGAGGCGTCACTTTAACACGTGAGTTTCTTGGCCCACGGATCCGAGTCACTTCGGCTATTTCCGAGATATTAGCCCACGGGTTTGGGAGCAATCGGATGTTTTCGGAGATATTACCGCACTGCTTGAATTTTGACATTGGTCAATTCTGACAGTCATGTCAGTGAATGTATCCTTGTTTGCAAAAATGTACCCAAAAACTAACGGTCGTTGGAAAAGTATATTATGCAACATGTTTGGTAAACTTTTTAAATCACTCATTTATTAAAATTATTAAATTCCGAAAAAATAGCGGGTAGTCATGCGTAAATGTGATATCAAATTTTTAGTTTGTTACAGTCAATTAGTAATTAAAATTTCCTTTAAAACTGATATTAAATTTGAAAAACTAGTGATACCAAAACTAACCTCCATTAATAGAAAAACTGAAATTAAGTTATTGACATATTAAGAAGCACTCTGGGATTAAAAAATATTTTGGTATGTTTCCTTGATTGCCCATAAAGTAACTCGCAATAAAAACCAAATTTCAAAACCCTTTAAATTTATTAACATAAAATATATGATAAAAAAATATAAAACAGCAAAGTAACAAAAAAAAATAAATAAACAATTGTGTTCAATTCCTTATGGAGTGAGCGTCGGCCATGTGTTTTTTGTACCCTTCCCGATAATCAAAACTTTCGGGACACAGGTGGCAACAATACATGTTTGTTAGATCAGAATGCATAAGCCTCACGTGGTACTTCAAAGCAGACTGATTCGAATAAATTTTCCCGCAATGGGGGCAATTGCCACACTGACTGCTATGATGCGGAACTTCAATACTTTTTGAGAAATCCACAACATCATCAGGAGCCATTAACTGAAAGCAAATAAATCTAGTTTTTTATTTTGTTACTGATAGCTTGTTCTTACCTCTTTGTCCATCTCCATCTCATTTGGTTCTTCAATTTTAATAGCTGGATGCAAAAATTCCGCAGTTCTATCAAAAGTCGATGGACTTGAGGAAGATTCTGATGAGGATCTCATTTTCAACATATCATTTTCAATAATCAGAGATTTTCCGGGTATAAAAATTGGTTTTTGGGTTTCGGGCAATACTGAGATTAAACCCGGTTTCTCACAAGAAAATGTAGGTTTTGCAGCAGCTGATGTTAGTGAACGTTCCAATATACTACCTGACTTTACCTCAAGTGCAGCTTCTAGTATTGACCCTTGAGTTTGTGTTTCAGATTTGGGGTCCAACTCGGTGGCACCATCTTTATTATGCTCAAGTTTATCACTGGTAGCTTCAGTATTTTCTATTTTGGATTTTTCGTTGCTGACTATGTCAAAATGCATAGGAATACTTCTCTTGCGAAAATTGGCCTCTGGCAGATTGTTTTTTACCCCTTTGGGACCAAGTTTTACTTTTTTAGAGCAACTTTCTCCACCAGGAATTTCGATATTGCTCACTTTAGTTTTAGCAGACTCCGGGTGCCGTTTAACTGTATATGGATTTTCACTATTTATTAAACCTGAAACCTGTAACACCATAGCAGTTTGTAAAAATGAAGGAAGTTGTTCTTCAGATATCATAACTTCTCCATGATACATAAAATTAACTATTGCTATTAGATCTATATAAGACACATCCTTAAGGATAACAATTGGGTGAGAGCAAGGATTTTCCTAGAAAAAGAAGAATTAAACAGTAACAAAATCAAAAATGCAATATATACCTTAAATATGGAACGAAAATAAGGACTGCAAGCAGATAGGATAAACTTATGTGCTTTGATGCTGATGCCTTCGCATGATAGGGTAACGTCTGCTAAATCCTCAGTATTCTGCAAGCTTTCAAACGCATTGAGGATACTTGCTTGAAATTTAGTCCACTTTAAACAGAAATGCTTGGAAGTCATATTTAAAATAAAAACGCTTTAATTCGTAAGCATCGCAACTAAATGATAACAAAATGAACATGAAAATAAATAAAAACTTAAATTATTAACGCAAATGTATTGCCAAACTATCCTAAAAAAGTGGGGCTACGGACGTACTCATATCACAGACTATAACAGAGTTTTGGTAAGTTAAATATCCTCTCTCCTTCTTCTTTTCTTTACGAAGCGAATGTAACCATGATCAGTCGGCAATTTCTTTCAGTCTTCTATTCATGTTCCTCAAATGAAATGTGATGCGAAATTAATATCAAAAGTATAGCTGTTCTAATTTGTAATGTTAATCAACTTGGAGGATGATGGATTGGTCTAGACCGATCTCTTGGGAAGGCATCCTTTAGGATTTTTTAATTATGTTCACACTTGCTTAAACTGGCCGAATGACTTAATGTAGTTGTGGTAATTAGAAGAAAATAAAAAAAAACCTCTCCCAAACTATTGGGTTAGGAATGAACCGCGAGTGAATTCAAATTATTTTTGTTTCTAGTTAACATAACTAATGTACGTTCTTTTTAAAATAAAAGGATCAGTCGGCGAATTAATTTATAATAGATTTTAGAATTCGACAATGAGTACATCGTTAGCCCAACAACTTCAGAAGCTTGCCCTTCCTCAAACAAATGTTCTAAAGAAGGATCATAAACGAGCTTCAATTTTATTTGATCCCAAGGAAGCGGCCGGTATCAGAAGGGAAACATATTTTCAAATCGGCTTGCAGGGATTGGAAGAATTAATTCTAAAAAATTCTATATTCGAACCGTTCCGAAATACTTTATTTAATATCAATGCGAAATCTTTCGAGCGATCTGTTCACGATAAAGAAGCTAATCAGAAGCTGGACAAAGCGATAAAAAAATTGTTATTTCTGTTATCGCCTTACTTTTTATTAAACTCAACTCACAAAGTGTTGGAGTGGTTAGTTTATCGATATATGATAAATGAGTTTAACAGAAATGATTTAATTACACTGATATTGCCATACCATGAGTCTAACATATTTATTCGAGTGGTACAAATTTTGAACTTTAAGGATCAAAATGATCCACTGTATTTCCTAAGAGCACTTCAGAAACGCGGAGTCCATTTAACAAAACAAAATTTGCTAAATCATTTAGCGACCAATGTAGGATTTTTAAAATTTGTATCTGACTTTTTACCCCAATTAATCCAGGCTCATGAAAACCAGGGATTACTAACTGTGATTTTTAATTTTTATTGCACAGCTTTTTGTGGGGCAATTGAATACAGAGACGAAGTCACCGAAACCCAGGTCTCATATATGCTGCCGCTTTTATTAAAAGGTTTAAAGTCAGCAACTCCAGACTATGCCGCTGCATCTTACATTATAGCTGCAAGATTAACTGCCAAAACCACTCTCTCAAATAAGCTCTTGGATCGTATGGTTGAGTTAGTATCCAAACTTAAATGCAGCAGTTTAAGAACCGAATCCTGTCTCGCTTTGGTCATCTTTTATCAGTCCCAAAGGCAGTATTTAAACATGCCCAGTGAAGCTTTATTAAGCCTTTGCGAGCTGGAGTGGTTTCCAAAATGTTTGCAATATTTGTGTTCCATTGGCACCAATATTGACTCCCTTGCGGAAGTGTTAATAAAAAGGGCTACTGAAGAAGGAACCACGAATGACATGAAACTAGCCAGGGAACTCATCGACAATATGCTGAAGGAAATTACTTTTGAGGATGACTTTATTGAAAGATTGTTAAGGTGAGTTAATCGAGTGTAGCATCAAATTATTTGGAGTTGTAATATAATGGTTTTACAAAAATTCAAGGTGTACCGATAAGTATTAATAATTATTATAGTATAATTAACTTTAAAAATTGAGGCAAATATTAATAAACTCGTCATTCGTTCATGTGTTCCTAGTTATCAAGTTAAACAATTTTTTTTTTATTATTTCTTTCACTTAATTCCCTTAACTACCTTCACTATATTATATACCTACAGTATGAACAATATTGGTCCCAATACTGTCTCTTGTGGAAAACCATATTTTTGTATTCCTGGTTGAAATTTTGCCATATTTCGTAACTTGTTTCAGACCAGACACATAGTCTGCAATTCATTATAACAGGACCAAAACCATATTTTTCTATTTTAAGTAGAAGCAGCTCTCTGTTCATTGTCGTAAACGCACATCTGCAGTCAAGAAATGCTACGGCAATCATTCATCCATTTTATAAAGCTATTTTTCAGCCAAACAGTTCACTTCAAGTGTTTTTATTCCTAAATCTTGTCTGATGTTCACCTAACATATTTCACTGTTCACTAATTCACCTAGGGGGAGACCATGTTGATTAGTCTAACCTCCTCAAAATTTAATGTTTTAAATTGTATGTTTTTTTTCCCAATTCGGATTACCACGTTAAACTAACCATGATTTTTTCGTAACTCGCACATTTATATTTTATGGCATTTTTCATGTATGTTTTATTCCCTATTAGTTCTACGGCTTCTTTATATGTTTTGATCAAGGTGATATTTTATGGAATTTCTGTAATGCTCTCCAAGTAAATCTTATTAAAGCTTTGTGAAACCGTGAAATCTTTGTTATTTGTGAAAGCCTTGAAATCTTTGTGAAATCATACCACTTGTAACTATACACAATGTAACTATTTTACATGATTTGTGTAAGGTGTGACGTTTGATTGCACATTACAAATCTTTTGGATTCCTCCTGACTTCTTCAGAGCTTAACTGAAGTTTGATTTATAAATAACCAACGCCGGAGGAATCCAGAAGATTTGAAAATAGCATTACTGTAGCTTGTGGAAGTTTCTTTGAAAAATAAAGGAACTTTATTGGGGATATGTTTCATTTGGATTTTTTTGAGTATTCACTTAACTAATGATTTACGGATGGAAAATTATTCCGGAGTGTCATCATCCGTTTGTTTTTTCAATTAAACCAACGTACTTGGTATTTTTGACGTTTTAAGACATAAGACAATATTTTCGCTGCCTTTTTTCTATTACGGATTTAATTTTATTTAATGTTTGTTTAATTTCTAACGAAATGTGTTAAACATGACCTTTTCTGTGAAGAAAATTAATTAAATAATGTTCAAGAAAAAAAATTAATAAAGAAAAAATAATTAAAGGTATTATATTTATCTCCGTTTTGAAGATTTATGGAATTTATGAAATGTGTATTTGTTAATTTAAGGTCACTGACATTACTCTTTCCCACTTAAAAAAAAGTTTAAAATGTACTTTGTATATATAATTTTTACTTATTTTTTTTATTATGACGGAATGCAAGAATTTTCCAAATAATCTAAAAAATATTTTGAAAAATCCGGTAAAATCTTGACTTTCACATATCTCGTTGCCCGCCACAATTTTATAATTAAATTTGTTTTGGCTCATCATTTCGATCGTAATAAGTTCTTTTTGCTTCTCTTATTTGTTTCTTTTTTGTTTATAGCTTGTACAATCATTAACAAAGAATAAAATAATCAAATAAAACAAATCATGGTAATTTTGAATATGCTTGGTTGTGATCGTACCTTATGGTGATGATGAGCTTTAGAGCGCCTACTTTGGTCTGAGGTTATGGAATTTAATATTGTTTTTTCTTTCATCCAGTTCCTTTTTGGACGCCCTGAATAAACAAATGAAATACGCTGAAGAAATAGGACTCTGGGTCACTAGCATCGTGCAGGACATTGAAACAAAGTACCCGGCGGCCTTTGACGAAACGGTCAAGGAAATACTAGTGTCGACATCCACCAAAATCGAGCGCAAACGGAAATCCTGCCTCCAGACTATCTTAAGGAGATCGGTAACTTTTAAAGGAAGATTCGTTGTGCTAGAAAAATTGTATCATCCTGTGCAAGAGATACGCGCGGAAGCCATCAAGTACGTTTTGACAAATCACAAAACTTTAAAACCGAGCGACTTGGAATTCGTGAAAAATATCCTAATCGATATTTTGGGTCAGAAAGATGTAACCAACACGTTAGACATCCTGAAGGTGATCGAAAAAATGAAAATCGCTGACGAACGGTTAGACGCGACGTTGACAAATCTATTAAAAGAGTACGCGACCGACGAAGGCGAGGACAAGGACATCATGTTTCGGATTCTCAAATTGTTGTGCGGCTCGCGCGATTTTAACTGGAAAATATTTTTGGTTGTCTTTCCTTTCATGTGGCCTCGCGCGGAAATAGATTTGGCCGATGCCAAGCGGGTGGTCGCGTTACCGTTTTTTTCGAAAACAAAAACCCGAAGCGTGAACCTCTTGCTGAAATCGTCCGACGTTAAAAGCTTCACGGGAAACTTGCTTCAATATTTGAGTGAAAAGGAGAACGCGGCGGCAAATGTATTGGATTTGATGCGCGATTTGCCCGCGCGCGACTACTTTGCGCAGTACTGCTGTGCGCAGATCGCGTCGCGTTTACTAACGTCGTCGGAAAACATCGCCGCGGCCGTCAAGTTTTTTTACTCGTTTTACGTCGACGCCGAGCAAAAATCGTTCAAAAAGAAACCCTCGTTTCGGGACTACCTTGTCGTTTCCAAAAGGAAATTCCCCGTCAGGGGTATAACTGGATGTATCTGGACGTTGCTCGGACACGTGGACCGTTTAGAACTGACGCCGGTCGATTTTGGTCTCGAACGCGCCGAAAGTTTGATCTTCGAGAACACCGCGGCTTTGCTATTCGATAATTTTGACGCCAACGAGGACGATATCGATTTATTTTTGAACCGGATGTGCAAAGACGCGCAACAAACAGTCGAAAGTTTGCTGAACTTGTGCACGTCGCATCCTGCTTTTTTGAACCCAACTTGCGTGGCCAACATCATGCGTTACGTCGACAAACTCTTACCCGTCCACGGCAGCAAGACTTTGTTATCACTCGACAGCCTGATCGCGATTCATTTATTGATTTTGATGCAATCACCTGACGAACACCTAAGACGAAACGTTGTCGACATGGTCGAACGTTTAAATCAGTCGTCTCAAAAATCTAACAGCTACGTTCATCTCGTGGAAGGACTGTTGGCCCACAGGGAGGAGATTGTAATGGACCACAACCAGACGCCGATAGTCGTAGGCAAACTATTAAGCCAGAGTAACCGGATCAAAGCGAAAAAACAGCTTCAGTCGATCCTGTCGACCATGCAAGACGCGATTTGCAGCAAGAGGACTCCCATGTACACGAAGCAGGGCCTCGTCAGTCTCCTGGCTGAGGTAAAGTCTTTCGAGTTCTTCGAGTCGACGTCCTCTGCGATCGCGGCAATGATGGAAGCGGAAAAACAAGCCTTCGACAAATTCGAGGCGCTTATTTTCAAGACTACTATCGATAAAATCGATGTTCATATCGCGGAGAGAACGTCGCTGGAATCCGACACGTGGAAACTGATACTCACGTGTTTAAGCAACGATCGTACCGAAATTATAATCGACGACGACGAACCACCCACTTGTCTCACGAAGATAACGTTGCAACATTTCACAAAAGATGTGCTGTCGCACTTCACCGACGACGTGCTAGTTACACTGTTAGACATCTTTTGCACGTTGTGCGTGACGTCGAAACATCCGGACGTGATCACGTTAGTGGGGAAAATTTTCAAACACATCGACCTCGATGTCAATGTGATCGCGCCACAGCTCATCCGTATGAGAGACGTCCAATCTGACCAAGAACAATCGGGAAAACGGAATAGAAGAATTAACATACCGTCGGCCGACATCCTGGAGACCACCGACTGGAAAAAGGGAAATGTTGTGCTGGAATTCGTCCAAAACAAAAAGAAAATCCGTAACGCCCATTGTCTGCTGGCGGTAGTTTCCGAGCTCTTGAAGAAATGCTTGGATTTCGAGGAACAAGCGGCTGTGGAATATACCAAGCAGTTACTTCTCTCACTAGTGCTGTTGATTTCCAATAGAATCGACAAACACGTTTTGTCCGATACCGAGTTCAACGTGGACTTGGTAGTGCAGTGCATCAGGTCGTCGCAGAACCCGCAAACGCATCACCACGCGATGCTCCTGCTGGCCTATTTAGCTGAGGTGTTTCCCGACAAAGTTCTGCACCACATCATGTCCATTTTCACTTTTATGGGATCCTCGTTGCTACGTCACGACGACGCATACAGTTTCCAGATCATTATGAAGATCGTTGACATTATAGTGCCGATTTTTCTTCAGAGTAACCAGCTGGATGATTTGGTTAAAGTTCTGAGGGTGTTCGTGGACGCTTTGTTAGACGTTCCCGAACACAGGAGGCTTCCTTTGTACAGACAGCTGTTGCAGAACGTCAATGCGGAAGAGAACATGTACCTATTTTTGCTCGTCATCTTTGATTCGCATGTCATGGAATATAGTCAAAATAGACGGAAATTGGTCAAAGGTAAACTTCGGTTGATACCAGTTCTTTTTGGTTTTGGTATTCGCAACTAAAACTGCATAAATGGCTTCTCTTTTTAGCTTTTTCTCTTCTTTGCCTAGCCATTCACGGTTAACTCAGATAGGTGCACATAAAATATTATCCATCCACTCTCCAACAATCTTACATTTTTTTCATAATCGATATAATGTGCACAAGGTGTTTTCTAATTGAATATCAATAATTAAGAGGGTGATCGCCACTCATTTCTCTTAAAATAGTATTGCAATCTGCAATCATATCTAAAGAAATTTAATTTTATTAGTTTTTTCAATCCTCTCCTCTGAATGGTATAACAATATCGTCAATATGGCAGCATCTAGAGAAATTAGTGCGACGGACTAACAAAAAAAATAACAAACCAAATCTGATCATAAATAAATGCAAATGTTCTTATTTTTTTAAAGGAAATCAGTGGCGTGCCCTCGTGTCGAAAAACAAATAAATATTTTGGTTATTTAGGTTGCCATTGCACTGGTTAAATCGAGAAGCTTATTTTGTGAAAACTAAAATATGTCTAAAATAAAATATCTAGTTTTTAGTTGCCAAACGTAAGAAGATTGTTCTTTTTACTTTTACTGTTTTAATTTAACAACATAACATCCTAACAATAAGGTTAATAATAAACGATTCTTATTTCAATTTATTGTATTTATTTAAATTTACATACTTACTTATTTGTACTTCTATTTTTTGAAGTATTTTAATGAAACAGATAGACAATTACTTAAGTATGTAATAATAATGATAATTAAATTTCTTTAGAAATAATTGGAGATTGTAAGAATAATTTCTATTTTAAGGGAAATCAGTACCATCAATGTTTGCCAAAATAAAAATGTGAAATTCCACGTCCACCTCTGGTGTATTTAAAAAAAAGTGGTACACTATATAATGCCTCGTGATACATAGTACATGTGTGGCAAAATTTCATGAAAATATCTAAAGTGGCATTAGATGTTAAAACAAATATTTTTTATTTTTAAAAACTTTACCACTTTGTGCCTCAAAAGTTAAGATGTTTGTATGCAGTTTTCTTTTAAAAATGGACCCAAAACTCGCCCCGTTAATTCTTCTTCTTAGTTGTGTGCTAAACCATGCTCGAAGATTGGCCAGTCAAAAGTCTCCTGCGTCCTGACGCCTCTTCTTCCTTGAATATTTCCCTGAAGGATACATTGGAGTAATTGATCTTTTGTTCCTCATGATGTGACCCAGGCATTGAAGATTGCGGTATTTGACGATGTTGACTATTTATATGGAGGTTTTCATTCTTCACTTTCACTTCTTGGGTCCATGGTATCTTCAAGATTCTGGTGTACAGTCAGCATTCAAAGGTTTGGAGGTTGGATATGGTTTCCTTGTGTGGGTGTGGCGACTCCACACCATACAGAAGAACCCAGTACGCATAACACTTTAGGAGTCTTTTCTTTATTTCCAGTGAGAGGTGCTTTTGAATACTCGACCCATAGCTAAAAAAGCACTTTTAGCCTTTCCAATTCTGCGCCGAATCTCTTGAGAATTGTCCCACGATTGGTGTCTTTCTATAAAACTATTTGTTCTTCGCATATTCGATAGATCCCATAATAGAAATAGTTTCAACAAATGTCTCATCAGACAAATAGTACGGTAGTGGCCACAGATCTTCGCGCCAGGCTTCTTTGTCCCTATTGAAAAACTACTTTGATATGGCCCTTCTCAAGTAGCTTACACCTGGTGCTTTTCCGTTCTTCATTTGTTGGATGGCTGAAGAAACTTCGTCTGGGAGGATTTCCGGTCCTGAGTCGTTTTCAATGATAGATTCTTGCCTTGCTCTGTGGAATAGTTTCAAATACTGCCGCCTTAATTATTGACATTCAATTAGAAAACAGCCTGTATAATGTAAAGTTACATTTTAAATTAATCTGTAGTTGTTATTTCAGGTGTGGATGCCAATAATAAACGCTTGGACATTACCAGAAGCTTATGCTGCGAGTTTCCACCGCGAGTAACATTAATGTCTTGCGTAAAAGTCATCCAATTCTTGAAGGAGTTCCCCGTGGACACACCGGAAAATAACCAAGCTCAAGACCAGATATCTGTCATAATTAACATCACCAACTACAGCGTCAAGCAGCTTCGACATTACAAGTACGCCGGCATATCGTTCCTTTCCAACTTGTTGTCGTCGCAGACATTCGTAAATCAGGTGGCGCTGCTCTCGGTCGACAATGTTCGCGACTTGGAGCAACTCTTTAAGGATGTAATCGTCGGAGTGCTAACGTTCATTCAAGCAACGTCCAAACTTGCAGAAAAATACGCCAACACCCCGCAGGCGCAGTACTGGAAAATAATCCTGCACCACTCGTACGACATATTGGACGGCGTCAACGCCCTTTTGACCCCGCCCATGTTTCTCCTCGTTGAAAAGGGTTTGCTGAGTTACAATTTGCCGGCTGTTAAACGGCGAGCTTTGGAACTGCTGAACGCGAAACTTCACAACGACGTGTATTTTTTTAAAGACTGCGAGAAAAAAGACGCCTACGTATTGATTCCCGTCATTATGTCGATTGTCGCTGCTATAGACGATGACGACATAGATTCGGAGCAAGAAGTGTTGATACAGACCGCGCTGCTGTCGTTGAAGCTATTCGTCAAAGCATTCTCATCCGAGGATCCCGAAAAATTCGTCGAAATTCTGAAGTTCATCACGAATATAGTAGTATCGCGCAAAGCTCAGAACAACGTGCTAGCGTCGGTCCTTCTCTGCCTAGCCGAATCGTGCGTCCACCTGAAGGCCCACGCGATCTCGTCCTTGGCCGATTTCATGCCCGCTTTCCTCGACATACTGAAAAGTCAGAAACACCAGGAAACGTCTAACTTGCTCCTGTTGAGCGTCGTCACCGCCACCCAAAAGCTAATAGAGAGCTTGCCACTGTTTCTAAGTCCCTACTTGAAAAAAATACTAACGGAGGTTTCGGTTTTGGTCAGCAGATGGAGCGGCTACGCTCAAAACCCTAAGCTGCAGCCATTCCTCAACAAACTTGACTTGATCAAACGGAAACTCGGCACCTTGATCCCGTTGAGGGTGTTGTTGCCGGCGGCGGTCGCCTCCTACGGATCTCTGATCGAGAAAAACCGCTGGAAGTGCGTGGGACCGTTCATGGATATCCTCGCCGAGGGTTTGAGGCAGGCGAGCGGCGCGGACATCGCCACCAACTTGCCCGCGTTGACGAGCTTCTTCCTAAACGCGTTGGAGTTTCGGGGAAGGTGCGGGTCTGAAGAAGAGGCGGGTGTCGTGGAACGGGAGGTGATTAAAACTCTGCTCGTGGTAATATTGAAATTGTCGGAGCAAACCTTCAGGCCGTTGTTCTACAAAATATACGAATGGGCGTCGCACGACGAGGACCGAACGGGAAGGCTCATTACATTTTATAATCTGTCCAAGGAGATCGCGAACTCTCTGAAGAGTTTGTTCGTGCTGTTCGCGGGACATTTCATAAACAACGCCGTCCAACTGTTGGATTCCGTCAATAGAATAAAAACCGAACGAGGTTTCTACAAAAACGACGACAAAGACGTCCTGCTGTTAGAGTACGTGCTAGAAACGTTACAAGCAACGTTCAAGTTCGACAACCACAAATTTGTAAATAAGGATAGGTTCGATATAATCATGCAACCGTTGGTAGATCAGCTGGAAAATACACTAGATGGTGTGGATAAATTGGTAGAACGGAACGAGAAGATTTTAACCCCGACGATAGTGCATTTCGTAGTAGCTACGGCGGAAGATTCCATATGGAAACAAGCCAATTACCAAATACTGCTGAAGATGCGACATTCGTTGCCCCAAATTAGATTGGCGGCGCTTCATTGCTTGACCCAGGTGGTCATAAAGTTAGGAGAAGATTTTCTTCCCTTGTTACCGGAAACGATACCGTTCCTCGCGGAACTTCTCGAAGACGAAGAGGAAAACGTGGAGAAAGCGTGCCAGAAAGCCGTACAGGAAATGGAAAAGATTTTGGGAGAACCGCTACAAAAGTATTTTTAGTTTGTAGTATCTGACATTAAACAATTATCATAAACTTTTGAGTGTTTCAGTAAAGGGTTCTTTTCCTGTTCGAATATGAATTTTGTATACGAATTAACGTTATTATACAACAATAACAATCCACTAATCATTCATACCAGAAACTATCACCAATTTAACGACTCATTCCCATCATCTACGAAGAATACAAATTAATATCTCCAACTAAATCATAGATTAAATATTTACGAATTAAACGATACCATAGACTTGAAAATAGATATGTTAACTGGGTGTTCAACTGAACACAATTTTTGTTTATACGGGCTATGTCATATTTTTAAAAAGTTTTAAATAGTTCTGGCAAATGATAGTGTTTTTTTTTTTAATTTTGGGATACAAATAATGTATAAAGAAGTGCTTAAGATAAGTAGTTTTCATTACTCCTAACTACGCACAACTGCTCATAGTTTAAACGCTGTGGCTTCTCTAAAACCGCGATTGATTGAAAGTTACTATTAGTTCTGAATTTGTTGCAGTGAAACGAATAAGAAAATTATTATTCTAAGTATGTTCTAAGGTTTTCAACAAAACATTCGGAGTTGTAAGAGTAGTTGAAATATGTTGGAATGTGACGAGTTTGATAGACAACATACAGACTTGTGTACGAGAATAAACGCGTCGGCATCAGGTCACCAAAGAGAAGTAAAGGAGTAGAATAATAGATCGTTTGTTTTTTTCAAAATTAAAATATGCACCGTAGATAAAATAATGTCTGAAATCAAAAAGAATGATTTCATTCCACGCATGGGTACGAAGAAATTGTGGAAATTTAAACGACACCATAGACTTCAAAATAGTCATGTTATCCCAGTGTTCAACTGAACACAAACAATTAATGTTTATATAGGTTATGTTGTATTTTCAAAAAGTTTTGTAAGTTGTAAGTTGTAGCTCTGGTAAGTGATGGTGTTTTTTAATTTTAGACTATATATAATATAAAGAACTGCTAAAGATAAGTAGTTTTTATTACTCTTTAAGTGCGTGCAGTACTGTTATGTTATGGCTTCTCTAAAACCTCGTTTGGGTAACGGTAAAATAAACCTGAGGGAACTTTCAAAAGACATGTTTTTCAAGAATGTCGTCACCTCCAGATTATCTCAGGGAAACGTAGAAAACTTTCCTTTTAACGAATCTCGTTTCCGCGTAATATCAAAAAAAAATAACCTCGCTAACGTTGGCAAAGGAATTTTGTACTGGATGAAAAGAGATTGCAGAGTGGAAGACAACTGGGCCATGTGTTATTCGCAACAGTTGGCTTTAAAAAATAAACTTCCCCTTTTTGTGTGTTTTACGATTTTTGAGCAGCACTATTTGTGCCCCACAAAAAGACAGCAACGTTTTTTACTAACTGGTAAGTTCCTATTAGTATTCTCCGAAGTTATAACTTATTGATAATAGAAAAGGGAAGTCCTCCTTTAAATTATAAAATGTTGCCTTATTGTAAGTTTTGTCGCTCTTTCAGGGCTGGAGCAATTAGCGGAAAATCTTAAAGGTTTAGATATTAACTTTTATTTACTGAACGTTTCTCCAAAATCACTCGCTAAAATCGTTAACAAAAATAAACTTGGGGCGGTTATATGCGACTTAAATACCTTAAGAACTCCTAGAGAATGGGAAAAAGATTTTATGGATAATTTAGATTGCGATATTCCATTTGTACAGGTAAGAATTTTTGCTCTCTATCGTTTCTGCAGAGGGCTATTTTTACTTTCTTATTTATTAACGGATTACTCTATCCCCTCCCCACACCAGAAAATCAACATCATCAATACTTTTGTTAGATATACTTTGTCTCTTGACTTTTGACGGCAAACACTGAAATAGTCTGCGACGCAATAAACCATCACAACTAGGTATTGTAGGGCAGCATCAAGGACGGACTTTTAAAGTGTTCTAAAAACGTAAGGATTAAATATTATATTTTATGTTGGTATAATAAAATCGCGTTAGTATCTACTAATACAAAATAGTATGACACGATAAGTACGTTTTTCTTCAAAATCTAATTATGTTTCAAAAGTTGTCCTCTCTTGCATATCTATTCAAATTGAATTTCAGTTTTTGTACTTGATAAATTTTCTTGTTAGACAACAATTAGTTTTACAATATCTTGACAGTGAGATTGAAAATCACTACGTTTTTTTCGTTCATTCGATAATTCACTATTGAGAATATCCTTTACCAAGGATATTGGCATTTTTGTAAGCAGTGGTATACTCGTAGGAACCTATTTTGAAAACGGGTTATTACTTAAACGTCGTAATTACTTTTTGGGTTAGGGTCCGCAAAAGTCAAGACGATATGGTTTGGGACATACTTTACTACATTTAAGGTAGATGCGCACAATGTCGTTCCTCTGTGGAAATCTTCAGATAAACAAGAAATTATGGCTAGAACCATTCGACCTAAAATAACTAAAGTCCTATCAGAATTCCTAACGGGTTTTCCAAAGATATCCAAACATCCATATAAAGGAACACTGAATGTTCCGTCGGAATACTCGGTAGACTTTAAAGATGCTCCAGCTTCGATTAAAACTGTCTGGGATGTAGATGAAGTGATCGACGTAAAAGCCGGATGCGATGAGGCACTGGACACGTTGCACTCTTTCCTTTGCGACCGTTTACAAAATTACGGTATAAAAAGTAACGATCCCACTGCTGACGCTACATCAAATCTGTCGTTTTGGATTCATTTTGGTAACCACGAGTTGGCGGTGACGTTGCGAGTTTCAAATTTCTCAATTTTAGGACACATCTCGGCCCAGAGGATAGCTTTGGAGGTGAAAAGTTTGGAATCTCTCTATAAAGACCAAGTGGATAAATATTTGGAAGAGCTTATCGTCCGCAAAGAACTCGCTGATAATTTCTGTTTCTATAACGATAACTACGACCGTGTAAAAGGCGCCGCCAAGTGGGCTCAAGAAACACTATCGCATCATAAGTTAGTAAAGTCATGAAATGACATTCTTTCTAGCTTTGTGTTTTTTTTTTTCATTGTTATTTGCTCCCCTTTTGTTACAGAAAAGATAAAAGACTTTACGTCTACAACAGAGATCAATTAGAAAAAGGCCTTACACATGACTCCATATGGAACGCTGCTCAACAGCAGTTATTGAGAGAAGGAAAGGTGCATGGGTACATGCGAATGTACTGGTGTAAAAAAATATTGGAATGGACAACTTCTCCTGAGCAGGCGTTGGAATTTGCAATCTGGTTAAACGATACCTTTGCTTTGGACGGTACTGACTCCAACGGTTATGTAGGTAGGTTTATCTAACACTTGAGTGCCAAAACGAATATAAAACATCTTTTTTTTTTATTTCGATAGGGGTGATGTGGTCAATATGTGGTGTTCACGATCAGGGCTGGAAAGAAAGGGAAGTTTTTGGAAAAATCCGCTATATGGTTGACTATAGTTTGAGGAAGAAATTCGACATGGATGTGTATTGCGCCCGTTATGGAACCCTTACTGAATGTATCACTGGAAAAAGACCAATTAAACGAAAAAGATGATTTTTTTTTTGTTTTTAATTAGGTAATTTATTAAATAAATGACCATATTTTGAAATATTTCAGTATTTATAGTTAAACCTTTATTAGTGATAGGCAAAGAAAATTGACCCAAACTTATAAATAAATATAATTAACTAATCTTATGCTCTGCTTCTTCGTGTAAGAGAGTTGTAAAGCATTACTGAACTGTAAATCTTGGAGGTGGTAGCCGTATTCTATAGGCATAGTATGGTATATACAATGTTTGTAAAAATTCTTTAGAGTGGCAGGTAGACGGATAGGTCATTTATTTACCTATGTCTCTGTTTTTCAAATTAGTGAATTATAGAGACTTTCCGGCAGTTGTTGATAAGTTAGGTCGTGAAAATGCCTAGTTTTTTTAATAAACGAGGAAATATCTCCGAAAACATCCGATTGCTCCCAAATCCGTGCGGTAAAATCCCGGAAATATCCGAAGTGGCTCGGATTCATGGGAAACGAAACTGACGTGGTAAAGTGACGCTTCCCGCACGCTAGATCGATGGGTAATTAGGTATTTTACAGACGGGAGTAGAAAATTAGTATATTATGCAACAAGTGCGGTAAACGGCATTTGATTCACGAGTTTTTAATAAACGGATGAGTTAAAAAGTTTACCGAACGTGTTGCATACTATACTTTTTCTACGGCCGTTAATTATTGGGTACATTTTCGCAAAACAACACTAATACATTCACTGACATGACCGTCAAAATTCAAAATTCAAAGCGTTTGAAATATCTCCGAAAGTATCCTATTGCTCCCAAATCCGTGTGGTAAAATCCCGGAAATGTCCGAAGTGGCTTGGATTCATGGGAAACGAAACTGGCGTGGTAAAGTGGTGCTTCCTGCGCGCTAAATCGGTGGGTAAGTAGGTAGAATTATCGAATGAAGGAAAAAATGTAGTGATTTTCAATCTCACTGTCAAAATATTGTAAAACTGATTGTTGTCTGACAAGAAAATATATCAAGTACAAAAACTTAAAATTCAATTTCAATAGATATGCAAGAGAGGACAACTTTTGGAACATAATTAGATTTTGAAGAAAAACGTACTTATCGTGTCATAGTATTTTGTATAAGATGTCAAATGAAATATATATATATATATATATATATATATATATATATATATATATATATATATATATATATATATATATATATATATATTCATATATTTCATTTGACATACCATTGAATTCATTCCATTCGAAGTCCTGGATTTTCGCCGTTAAGAAGCAAAGAAGTGTCCAAAGAATATAGAAAACGTCGTAGCTTTGGAATTGAAATCTATCAAATGATCATGTAAACAAATAAAAACCAGACTGTCAAAAATATATTCTGTCATTATAAACTTCAAAAAATTTCTAATATAACTCGCTATTGGATACCCAGGAAGAAGCAATTTACATTAAAATTCAACCGTTGGTGATCCGTCAAAAAAATTACAGTTGTGGAATTCTCGACGTAATTTAAATGTTTTGTCGAACTGGCAACTGTCGCAGTGTGTTAGATTAAGAATGAGTCTCCAGAAAATCCATATAAACAGTTCCGTTATATTTAATTTAACCACAATTACTGCAATACGTCGAATTAACAAAGTAACTAACGAAAAGTGTTCTATATATTTGGGAATAGAAATATCAAACTTTATATCGTGAGAAACATCCTTTAACCGTTAAAATTTCGAATACAGTTTCACAGTAGGGTGTGCTGAAAATGTTTTTACTAGGCTGATACTCAAACTATTAGAAATAAACGGAAGTCGAAAGTTAAAACAGGTTTTACAAACCTATTTAAGAGTTGTGGGTATTTCTTGGCAATATGGTGGATGCGCTGACATATTGATAACATTCAACCGCGTTTTTCTTTAAATATCAAAGAGTTGGCACAAAATTTTAAGAGATTGCTTGTATTTGATACTTTCAGACACCGTTTTATAGAGACATTTTCTCATTTATTAACCGCCGACAAAGCCACAAAGTGAGAATTTTATTTGAGATTCGTCCATATGGTACACCGACTAGCATATCGGCAACGTTGCAAACGATCCGACGCTAACAGTGAACTTGAGGTAGGTAGGTTACTCGAGTTCACTGTCTTACTTTCAAACTATACAATCTCTCTTACATCACTTGTACTAGTGTGAGTGAATTAACTCGTTTTATGAGAAAGAAATGGCGCGTTCTTATCGATAAATTCCATAAATTGTTGATTTCCGGGGGATAATTGTTGAATGTTGCACCTACCACTAAATCTCCAGATTCAAACTTTAAATGCTCTGTCAAAAAGGCGTATTTATATTAGAAAATAAGGATTTTTTCTCAAAAAATTGGGAAAAACCATATTTTTTTATTTTAAGTTCGTACTTTCTTATATTTCAACAATTTCAATCAAATAGGTACCTAGGCAATAAAAAATACCAAACGAATAACTTCATAAAATCGCCTAGTGCTCGTTTCCTGAGCATGTCATCGATGCAACAAACAAGGTTAAACGCGATACAGTCTGCTAGGTTACCTGCGTTCATTGTCCCACTCACCTGATCTGCAATGACCAAGAAAAGAAGAGTATTACTAGAAACCACGTAAACACATTCACGCATGTCAATGAACTTTGCGAGTCCCGTAGATTCATGGCACCACAGAACGCCGAAAAATAGCATTTTTTTGGTATTCAGTATTTCGCAGTTTTATTTGTCAAGAAATATTTATTTGCAAATTTAATTAGAACATTTTCATTTCTGCGTTTGGTATACGTTTTGTAATTGAGCTTCTTAAAATTGCTGCCAGGGGCTGAACCGCTAGAAAATTCAGCGGTATTGAGTTTTGTTTGTTTTTTTCTTTAGTAAATATATTTACGATTGGTGAAACTTGTCAGATTTGTAGATGATTTGTCAATCTTGAGGCAACTAAAACCGACTGGCGCTCCATCTCCATCAAGTAATATACTAGTAACAAAATATTAATCAAAGCATTTGTTAAATTAAAAATAAAATCTGATTTACCGTGAATCTAAATCGGCCTTCGGTAAAATATGGTGTTGGTAATTAAACGGAATTTAAAACAAAAAATTGCTGGATATTATTTCGGGTTTCTAAAATGGCCCCCATTGTTGTTTTTAACTTTAAACTTTTGTTTCTACAAAAATGTGTAATGTTAACCATGTACTATTTTAAAGCCGAGAAAAATTAAAATCGTTTTGATGCAATATTGTTTGCTCGATCTTTTGCAAGGAGTTTTTCCTAGGCTAACAATGGTACTATGAATTATGGTAAAAAAAAATCTAGACAAGCAAGAAATACAACGATGTGATTTTTTTAATATCAGATAGTCAAATAACCACCCAATGAAAACCGCATATCTTTATTCTAACCTAAAATATGAAGAAAATAACTTAATTACGCGTTTATGTTTTGATAGGCTCACCCTTTTCCAAATATTTGTTATTACTTATTCTTCCATTAATTAATTAATTAGGTGTGGCCATTTCTTGTACTAAGGTGGCTTTTACTTGAGGAAAATTCATTTAACATAATTAAATTTTAACAAAAAATGTTCAGATTGGTTTGTGACAGCTGTTTCGGCAACTAAATAAATTGTGAAGTTGTGAATATTTTTTGTTCTAATTTAATCGCAATAAATATTTAAGGAATTAAAATTGCAGACCAACAAGACTTCCACCAGCATCAAATAAAAAATTTTATCATACTTATACAAATAATGGTAAAGGAATATTTTTTCTTTTTAAGTTAGTATTTTTGTTAAAACCAAATTTTATTGTATTATGTGTTGCGCACCACACTACTCAAAAGTACAAGAAATCCTTGCTGCTTGAGCTTATATCAGCAGCATTTTCTATCTATTAATATTACCTATTAACGCCAATCCAAGGAGTATTATTTTTGTCTTTTAGAAACATTTATTTTAATTTGCAGAACAGTTGAAATCAGTTAGATTAAAGCTGATGTTTTCTCTGAATTTCAAATGTTTTTCTGCGAAAATTTGTTATTTCCATTTTACCAACAAATTTGAATGGCTCTGGAATAGCCGAAATGAGTTACACTAAAATTGCTTTGTACTTTGGATTTTAAATTTTATTTTGAATATAAAAATGTATGTACGTAGGCTAATAGACTTAAATGAAACATGTCGGTGTAATGTGTAATAACTTCAAAATTTCCTTATTATTGATAAGCGAAAAGAAACCTTATCTTTATAGGCATTTCGCAGATACATCTAAACATATTTCGAAAAAACAAATTTCTTATCTGTTGCATTGTTTGTTACCGGATATTTGGGCGTGTAATTAAAATTTAAAATATCAAGAATTCAACATGCAGCTTTTGAATTTGTTGTCGTAAATACGTTGGTTTGTTTTGTTTTTGTTACTTTCACACTTTTGTAAAGGCGAAAATATTTTTTTTAATATAACTTCCCTTTTACTTAATTCCTTTTCTTTATAATATAAGCACAAACCAAAATTAATCGCGAAAAGAACGATGAACTTTAGATCAAATATCCGTTTTTTTTGCGTCATATTTGATGCAGTTATGTGAAAAGCCTCAAGTGAAGCAATCGGGTTTACTGTTACTCGAGATATACGGCTATCCGTTATTTCAGATGAAAGTAAACCTCCGTAGCGCTACGAGAGGTCTTTGACTGTTTGGTTTTACTTCAGCATCGAACATGGCCGCAACTGTAAATTTAATTAAAAGTAATCTTTAGAATTTGCGTTTTTGTACGCGTACCGGTTTATTAAACGGAGATTATTGGCGCAAGAGTTCCATACGGGGGAAGCGAAATGTTTCAAGAAGGTGCCATTATTTTTATCAAAAAATCAAAATTGATAGGTGATATGCGCCGGCGCATTACCATGGCGCCAAAACCGATTTTTTTTTAAATTCTAGTGTTTATTAATTATTTTTGTATGTTATGGCGTCCAAAGTATAAAAATCTTGCATGTTCATGTCGAAGATACTGGAGAAATGCATAAACATTCAATTATTCGATCATATTGAAAATAGCAACATT